GATGTATTTTCATCGACTACCCGCAAAGATCCTTTGGATATCTTTTCTATAGACCAAGCGACAATGTTGTCTTCGTTGCAAGAAAAGGGGTTTTCTGAGAGAGAGAACTTATAAGCCAAGGAGATAGTGGGAGGCAAATTGATCTCGAAGAGATTCTAGAATCGACCGATGAAGGAACCTCTAACGCTGACGCTCAACCCGAGGAGGAAAATCCGGTTGAACCAATGGACCAATCCTTACCTCTTAGACGTTCCTAAAGAGTTAGAGTTCAACCCCAGTTGTATGGTTTTCATATTACTACCAAGGGGGACACGTATATTAATGATAGTACACTAGTAAATCTATATGAACCTAACAGCTATAAAGAAGCCATGACAGGCCCGGAGTCTGCTAAATTGAAAGAGGCGATGGATAGCAAGATACAGTCCATGTATGACAATCAAGTTTGGAATTTGGTTGACAATGTGCCCGGACGTAAGATGGTTGGGTGCAAATGGATCTTCAAGAAGAAGACCGACATGGATGGGAATGTGCATACATATAAAGCGCGATTGGTGGCGAAGGGCTTTACTCAAACTCCCGAAGTTGACTATGATGAGACCTTCTCACCAGTTGCCAAGATAAAATCTATTAGGGTAATGCTAGCCATTGTTGCATTTCATGATTATGAGATTTGGCAGATGGATGTCAAGACCGCTTTCCTTAATGGGAAGTTGGTTGAGGATGTTTACATGGCTTAGCCAGAGGGTTTTGTCGATACGAAGCATCCCAATAGAGTGTGCAAGCTTGAGAAGTCCATTTATGGACTTAAGCAAGCATCTTGCAGATGGAATATTTGCTTTGATGAGAAAGTCAAAGAGTTTGGATTTGTACGAAGCGAAGATGAATCATGTGTATATGTCAAGGCCAGTGGGAGTATAGTTAGCTTCCTCATTTTGTATGTTGATGACATACTGCTCATAGGAAACGACATCCCGACTCTACAGGAGGTTAAGTCCTGGCTCGGAAAGTGCTTCACTATGAAGGACCTCGGAGAAGCTTCCTATATTTTGGGAATAAGTATAGTGAGAGAACGAAGTAAGAGACTAATAGGACTTAGTCAGAACACTTACTTGGATAAAGTGATGAAACGTTTTAGTATGGAGAACTCAAAGAAGGGAGAACTACCGATACAGAGTAATGCCAAGTTGAGTAAGACTCAAAGTCTGAGTACCGAAGCTGAGATTGAGTAAGACTCAAAGTCCGAGTACCGAAGCTGAGATAGCAGAGATGAGCCGAGTACCCTACGCTTCCGCAGTTGGCTCGATCATGTATGCTATGACTTGTACTCGACCTGATGTGGCCTTTGCCTTGAGCATGGTCAGTAGATATCAAGGCAACCCGGGCATATCTCATTGGATTGCGATTAAGAATATCCTTAAGTACCTTCAAAGGACTAAGGAATGGTTTTTAGTCCTCGGAGGGAGTGATGACTTCAAGTTGCGAGGGTATAGTGATGCAAGTTTCCAGACCGATAGAGACAACTACCGTTCACAGTCAGGCTGGATCTTTACTCTAAATGGAGGAGCAGTGACTTGGAAAAGTTCCAAGCAAGAAACTGTAGTTGATTCAACGTGTGAGTCAGAGTACATTGCAGCGAGCGAAGCGTCCAAGGAGGTGATATGGTTAAAGAACTTCATTGGTGACCTTGGAGTTGTGCCTGCCATAAAAGAGCCTATGGAAATTTTCTGTGATAATGAAGGAGCGGTTGCCTTGACCAAGGAACCGAGGGATCATGGTAGATCTCGGCATATCAACAGAAAGTATCATTTCATTAGACATCGAGTAGAAGAAGGGCACCTCGTGGTTAAGAGGATATCATCAGAAGATAACCCAGCACATCCACTTACAAAGGGACTGAGTAGGATTAAGCACTTGTAGCACGATAGGAGCATTGGGCTGAAGGATGATATTAGTTTAGATTAGCTAGTTTTAGAAATGTATAATGGATCAATGTAATTAACATTTGATGATTAAATAAAGGAGTATTGTTTATAAGTAAAGTTATTGTCTTATGTTAATTGTTTAACTGTTGTTTCAAATTTGCATGTTTTGACTTCCTGAATAATTGAGTTATTAAGAATAATCGAATTATTCGAATAGTCCACAATCGTTCATATGTTGGAAGTAGGTATGAATGAAGATTGTCATGAATTGGTATGTACAGTGTCTATAAGATATTAGACATACCAAAGGTTTGCTGCAACATTCATGAGTGCTTATGAACAAGTTTTGAGCATTGGAATAAACCCGCGCTTGCTGGAACATACTTTAGGGTTTTATTCATGTGTAATCTAACCTTATATGTGAATTTCAAAAATAGCAACATACTTTAGGGTTTTATTCATGTGTTCATAAAGTTGTATATCTAATAGTGAAAACATAGATCCAAATCTAGGGTTGCATGCACACATAGGATTGTTTATATAAAACCCAACAGTTTGGTCTCTATGTTTGGCCCATTTAGCCCTTTTGCTTGGTTTAACCTGATTAGCTTCTCTCTCTCTCTCTCTCTCTCTCTATATATATATATATATATATATATATATATATATATATATATATAGTCTTTCCTTTCATTGTAACTGTACTCTTTATTTTCAATAATGAAACCCTAGGAGTATTTTGTTTATAAGTTTACACAGAAGATATAGTGAAGCTTAAGCCCATCTCTCCAACAGAAACCTTATTACCGAAGGATACGACCTACCTAAAGCAAATATTGAAATTGAAAGTGTGTCTGTTGTGACTGAGAATCCGAACATGAAAATTGATCAGGAAGCAGAAGATCAAGTTGAAAGCCTGTTAAACGAGCATGTTGTGTCAACGGAAATCCATATGGATCCACCTACACCATTGACTTCTACTTTAGTTAGCTTGATTGAAACTATCTCAACTTTCACAAAGGGAAGATACTCCTAAAAGTTATAGATCACCAATATATTTATATAAAGATTGCCCTATCATACAAGATGACAATATGTTATTATTTCATGGGTTTTATGAGCCCATGTCATATCTCGTTGATGTGAAAGATAAGTGTTTGGTCAAAGCAATGAAGAGTCAACTAGATGATAGAGAAAATAAAACATGGAGTCTGATTGACCTACTAGCATGACGACGACTTATTGAACTAAAGAGGGTTTTTAAGGTGTAATGGAACCCACAAAGTAGCATGATAAGACATAAGAAAAAAATTGGTGGTGAAATGGTACATACAAAAACTGGGAGTTGACTATGGCGAAGTATCCGTACCCTGTGGCACGACTTGAAACTGTATGCATCATACTCGCTCACTCATCTAGAAATTTCTGAAGTGTGCAATACCTTAACGTAATTGAAAGGGTTCGTAAAATGAAATCAACCACAAAGAGTCCACACAAAACAAAACAAAAATAAATAAATAAATAACTCTTTATAGGCTTCTTCAGGCCTCGAGAGCATGGAATTCCAATTTAGACAACTGTTTGAAAAAACTTGATTTCTCAAAGTCTCCTCAGGAACTAGAAGATTATACTAGAAAGAGTACAAACAAAATTTTTATTGTTGGGATCTATATTGAAGTGCAGATTAAAGAGTTGTAAAAGAATACTAAGTTTGATATGAGTGATCTTGTACTACTACCATGCCATCTAAGTATTTAAGTGGTTTAAAGAGATGGAAAGATTCTCCTAAATTAATCAGGTTATGCAGCCTAATAAAATATCTGATGGAGCCTGAACCGAAACCGAAGCTTAGTAGAATATCTTATGGATCGGAGCATTGTAGGTGGAATGGTAATAGGTTCACCGAAAGCCCAATAAATACGAACCTACATGCTAAGATATCTAAAACACACAAACATACACCCCAACATATCATATGAAGTTGGAATGGTAATAGGTTCACCAAAAGCACAACAAATGTGAACCTACATGCTTCAAAAAAGATTCTTCGACATGTACATGGTACAATCAACTAGGTTTTGGTTTATACAAAAGACAAATATGGGACAATAGTCGTAGACTATGTGGATAACAATTTAGCTCAGGATGTTAATAATTGTAGAAGTACTGTTAGAATGACATATTATCACAATGTAAACCTAGTAACCTGAGGTTTACATAAGCAGCATAGCATTGCTCTTTCCTCATGTGATGCAAAATTTATGGCATCCACAAAAACAACGTGTCAGCAAATTTTAATGTGAAGACTACTCGGTGATAAAAACAAAGAAAGAAATTAGCCCATCGGTCCTTTATATAGTTAACAAGTTGACTCTCTCCCTAATGAAGAAACCCAATTTTTCATGGGCAGAGCAAACACATCAACACTTGGTACTAATTTATTGGGTTAATCGGAGATTTTGAGTACATATTTTTTATGGAAACTTTCTTTTTTAGTAGAATGTGAGTTAGATAAGGATGCTATTTCTTTTAGTATAAATAAGGGCATTGTCTTTGTTTTTTTTTTTTTTTAAGTTTTCCAACAATAAAGTTTTGTTTACCTAGTAATATCAATCTCAAAGTTTCTCTCATGTTTTTTTTCGTCCCATTCCGATTTCATCCTTAGGCACCAAGGTAACATTAGTTTAACATCTTACACTTGGTATCAGAGCCTAGGGATAGTGAAGATGTAAGGCGTCCGGTTTGAGAGTTGGTTTCAAGAAAAGTGTAGCCATTTGTTGCGGGGCAGACGCAGCCAACGGGAATCGGGTTACGTTGAGGGGGTGTGATTTGGTTTTGATCGCAAGCATCCCCGATTTCTCTTAATCGGGCTTGTACTAAAGTAACGAGAGACTAACCGGAGGCGCGGAATAAACGGATGGTAATACATCAAATCGGGTGGCTTTGATTCAGTTTGTTTTTGCAGGTGACGGAAGATAGTAAAAGTGGTTTTGACCTTGTCTTGTTGTTTGGTGGAAAATTGCTCTCAGAACAAGTTTAATTAAAGAGGTCGTGGTTGTCAAAAGAGAGAATAGGATGTCGATGGTTAAAGAAGGATGTGCGATGTCGTTTCAAGTTTCGGTTTTGACTCCAACGAATTATCCGGTGCGGGGAATTAAAGTCAAGTTGATTATGAATGCACACAACATATGCGAAAATATTGAATCGAGGGCGTTCGATGGAAGAATCTCGCGGAATATGATTGATCGGCAAAGTTATGGTTGTCAATACAAGAAGGTAATGGACAAACAACACGGTGTGAACATTATGGCGTTGGATTTCAAATCGGGTGGCTTTGGATATGGGCGAGGAAAGATCGTGAATCCGGAAAAAGTCAAGATGGTAATGAACGTGTCCAACGGGATGTCAAGTTACATGTTAAAGGTGCTGTGAATAATCAAAAGCGGATGAGAGAAGATTTTGGATGTGACCAAGGTGGAGGTCGGGTGTCCGGAAAAGGTCAAGAATCGAGACGGTTTGAAAAGAAGGTGATTAAACACTGTTGTGAACGAATGCTATATGATCAATTCGATTAAAGGGGGTGATTGTTGGGTTAATAAGAGATTTTAAGTACATGTTTTTTTTACTTTTCTTTTTAGCATAATTTGAGTTAGATTATGATGCTATTTCTTTTTGTATAAATAAGGGATTTGTCTTTTTTTTTTTTTAAGTTTCCCAGCAATAAAGTTTTGTTGTTTACCTAGTAATATCAATTTCAAAGGTAACATTAGTTTAATATCATACATAATTCATACGTTAGAAAGAGGTGACGTTGTCTTGAAACATGTGTGTACACAGGAGCAACGAACAGGCATCCTAACAAAAATCAGTGAGCAAGGTAAAATTTGAAGAAATGCAAAATCAGTGGGGAGTTACGAATATAGGGAAAATACCGGCAATAGTAAAAAATGATGGTGAGTTTCAAAATTTAGACATGAAAATGGACATTTCTGGGTATAGACATGCATTCCGCGGAGGTAACTCCGTGGAATCTACTGTAACTCCGCGGAATGGCAAAATCGTAAATAAATTAGTGTATTAAAAATAACTCAAGATCCATCCCGCGGAGCTACAGTGGATTCCGCGGAGCTCCATGGAGGTAGGTCCGAGGAATGGATCTCCACTAAAAAAAACTCCTCCAATGATTCTTTTATGTAATGATATGTAATTAAAAGATCAATTTTTTCCACCTCACATTCATTCCAAACATTGTCAAGAAAAATTCATATTATCATAATATTTTCTTGAAGAT